GGGTCTGGGGAGGGTTTTGGGGGGTCAGGGGGGCTCACAGGGTGCCTGGGGGGCTTTGGGGGGGTCTGGGGAGGGTTTTGGGGGCTCTGGGTGGGGCTGAGGCGGCTCTGGGGGGTCTCTGGGGGTCTGTGGTGGGACTGGGGGGATGTTTGTGGGGGACACAGGGGATTGGGGGGTGTGGGGGCCGGGTCTGACCCCCGTTTCTCCCCCTGGGACCCCTCCCCAGACGTTGGGGGGCCGCTCCCCGAGAGCTACAGCCCCGCCTACGTGGAGGCGGCCTGGTACAGCTGGTGGGAGAAGGAGGGGTTCTTCCGGCCGGAGTGTGGGGTGAGTGGGGGTCCCTGGGGGGTCCTTGGGGGTCCCAGAGCCCCCTGACCCCCCCCGTGCCCCCCCAGCGCTCCCTGGAGACCCCCAACCCCCGGGGGGTGTTCGTGATGTGTCTCCCTCCCCCCAACGTCACCGGGACGCTGCACCTGGGCCACGCCCTGACCGTGGCCATCCAGGACACGCTGACCCGCTGGTGAGTGACCACTGGGGTGACCCTGAGTGACCCCTGGGGCCAGGGAGTGACCCTGAGTGACCCCTGGGGCCAGGGAGTGACCCTGAGTGACCACCAGGGATCTGTGGAGTGACCCCCGTGTCCCCTGCAGGCACAGGATGGGGGGGCTGACCACGCTGTGACCCCTGTGACCCCTGAGTGACCCCTGTGACCCCGTGTGACCCCCGTGTGACCCCTGTGACCCCTGTGACCCCGTGTGACCCCTGTGTGACCCCTGTGACCCCTGAGTGACCCCTGTGACCCCTGAGTGACCCCTGAGTGACCCCTGTGACCCCGTGTCCCCCGCAGGCACAGGATGAGGGGGCTGACCACGCTCTGGGCCCCGGGCTGTGACCACGCCGGAATCGCCACCCAGGTGGTCGTGGAGCGGCGCCTGCTCCGCTCCCGAGGGGTCACTCGGCACCAGCTCGGCCGCGACGCCTTCCTGGGGGAGGTGTGGCGCTGGAAGGAGGAGTGAGTGACCGCTCGTGTGACCCCGGAGTGACCCTGTGGTCACCCCAGAGTGACCGCTCGTGTGACCCCGGAGTGACCCTGTGGTCACCCCAGAGTGACCCTGTGGTCATCCCAGAGTGACCTCTCCTGTGACCCCAGAGTGACCCCAGAGTGACCCCTCAGCACCCCAGAGTGACCCCAGAGTGACCCCTGCCACCGTAGGGTGACCTAAAAGTGACCCCGGAGTGACCCATCGCACCCCAAAGGGACCCCAAAGTGACCCCGAGGCGATCTGTAGCACCCCAGAATGACCCCTAAATGACCCCAGAGTGACCCACAGCACCCCAAAGTGACCCCAGAGTGACCCACAACACCCCAAAGGGACCCTAAAGTGACCCAGCAGTGACCCTGAGGTGACCCACGGCACCCCAAAGTGACCCTGCGGTGGCCCCAGAGTGACCCAGCCCCTCCCCAGCCCCTCCCCAG